GGGGCTCTGCAGAAGCCCTGCCCCCCGCCCGGACGTTTGCCCAAGGGCCTTTGCTGCCCTGACTCTATCGTGTCATGCGGCCGGAAGCTTCCGTCCAGCGGGGCCAAGTAACTGAGTCACAGGCCATTCCAGCTAACGCCACATCTGGAACTGTTTACAGTGCGATTCTGCCCAGAAAGCAGTGGCCGCCTTCCTGGGGCTGCCGGCACGCACACTCGCGCACGCACACACACGCGCATACACACACACACACACAGAGGCATGTGTGCGCCCCTCCTCCCCACCCCCGACCCCCAGAGAGTCAGACTTTCTCCTGAGCCCAGAAGCCACGATCCCAAACCCTGCCTCCTGCCTCCGCCTCCCCCACTCTTTAGGATTTCCTGAAAACCCAGAACTTTCTCCAGATGCAAGCCGGCCCCAGCCTTGCCACGTCAGAAGGGACAGAGCGGATCGTCTCGGGAGGAGTTGTGGTTTCCCTGGCTGCTCAGAGGTGCTCAGGCGCTGCCTGGCCTGGTGGCTCTGGCGTCTGCCTGGGGGGTGCTGCGGGATGGACAGCCAGCCTCGCCAACCCAGTGTTCAGACTACCTGTTCAGGAGGCTCTCAACGTGTACAGTAGTCTGCACATTGGTTAGGCTGGGCTTGGGTGAGCGGCGCGTCGAGACAGGCCCCCCAAACTTGCCGGCAGGTGAGTGTCATTTTCCACCACCTCGTTTCCCACTGCGGCGAAGCCTGACATAGAAGATTCGAGGGCCTGGGTGGGAGAAGAGGTGCTGGGGAAAGGCAGAGGGAGCCCTGAGGCCGGCCGAGGGGTTGGGGGCCCTGGCCCTATCAGTCCGCCATCCCCACCCCATGGCTATAAACGTCTTCTCGTTTAATCTTTAAATAAAGAGATACCGATGTCTTGCGTCCCACTGAGGCATCTAAGAGGGTGGCCTGATCCTCAGGGGTGGCTGCCACATGTGTGACTCCAAGGGTCCCTGCTGGGATCCTAACTTGGGTGGTGGTAGGGGACAGGTTCCATGGCTACCCTCTCCTGACTAGAGCCTGCTTTGTGTCTGGGGCGCACACAGGGCCCCTTTCACAGGTCGGCTGTTTCTCATTACGGCCGGTGCCCGGCCCTTCTCACACCGCTGCTCCAGACTCCAATCTGGGGCTCCACAGGAGGGTCGGGGGCTCTGGCTTTCAACCCTGAGATGAGGAAAACACGAAGGGCCCCTCATGTGAGAGAAGAGATCTGAAAACTAGACTTGCAGTGCTGCCAGGCAGAGAGCCGGCAGGGTAAGGTTCAGGCCCAGAGGCTCCTCCAGGGCTCGCCGCCCCAGGCCTGGCACTCCCACCCAGGGGACCCTGGAAGGTCCCCACAGCCCTAAGCTGAAAGGCAGGGGACCAGCTCTCAGCCGGCCCGACAGCCCACACACCACAGCGCAGGCTGCTTTCTGACTGCAAGGCGGAAAGAGGGGAGGAAAGTGAAGGGCACCCCACCCCACCCCGGCCATTTTGAGGAACCATCCGATCCGGACATGTGAGTTCCTAGAGGAGCGTGAGGCAGGGAGAAGACTGCAGACCACGCCTGGCCCCACACTCCTCCCACATCCCAACCCCATGAGGTTCGCTGGATCTGAGGTTCTGGAAGGTTCCACAGGGACCCCAGAAATGCTTGCATGGTGGCTCAGCAGACTCCACCACCCTGGGTTAAGAAATAGCACCCCAGAGTCCCGCAGAGGCCTCAGGGCTCCTGAGGCTTCAGGAACATTCCAGAGATGAGCGTCTGGTCTCGTGTGGAGTGGGATGACCCTTTCACCCCAGCGCCCTCGGTCAAGGGGACATCAGGCCTGGGCTGTGGCGGAGGTGTCTGGATGTCGGGCTGGTGTGTCCCTCAGGTCAGGGAGCATGGGCCTGCAGACGTGCACTGGAGAAGCGTCCACCCCAGATGGGACCCTCCCCTGCTCCCCGATGTGGGGCAAGTCACTGCTCAGAGCCTTAGATGGGGGTGACCACAGAGCCACCCAAATGGCAAGCGTGAGGGTTTCCTCACGGGGAGCAGGGTTCTCCTCAGGTGTGGCCTCAGTGGGCTCTTAGCCAATGAGCCCAGCACAGAGCAGGGGTTCACAGCCACAAGGCCCTCCTCTCTTTGCTCCTTCCTGGGGCCAGCCGGGGCCCTCCAACCTGCCTTCTCTCTAAGCCTGGAACTTCCAAGCCAAGTCCTGCCTGTCCTGGGGCTGAGGTGGCTGCCAGCAAGCCCCCAGTCGGGGGTACTCCCACAGGGCGTTCCCTCAAACCCAAGGGGAAGACAGCCAGGCAGGGTGGCTCCAGGGGCCTCAGGCAACCCCAGCCTCTCCACTGAGGTTGCCTGGACTGAGCTGGTGGCTGTGCCATCCCAGGGACCATGGGGACTGGCCAGCTGGCCCTGCACCTGACACAGCCTCCAGCTCCTCCTCTGTGCACTGGGGGTAGGTGGGTAGGTTCCCTCCTACAGAGAGGAGCTGGGAGGACTTGATACTGGTAGCCACCAGGACAAAACCTGGGACACATGCGGTGAGCCAAGCACAGTGCTGGGCTCAAGTATCAGAACTCCCCCACTGGCTCCTGCAATCCAGAGGGGACAGGCCACAGTCCTGACTTTATAGGTGGGGAGACGAGACACGAAGGGTTGATGCCACTCAATCGATATCCTGGTGAATTCTGGGTGTCAAGCCCCAGCTGTCATGCTCAGAAACAACCAATATCCACTTCCTTCTTAGAAAGTGCTGGAACTGTTAGCTGGACTCACAGTTGCCACACACAGAGGCCCTTCTTTCCCTTCTTTGGGCTGCTAGAAGCTACATGGTGATGGGCATGGGGCAGCCATTTTAAACTATGAAGGGAGCCCTGTGTTAAGGTGGCAACAGGAGAGGCAGAGCCAGGCCCTGGACAGCCTCGCAGCACAGGATCACCAAGCTCACTGAGATGTGAGCAAGAAAGAGACTTCATCTCTTTAAGTGCCTTCGTTTTGGGCCTCTATTACAGACGCAAATCCACTGCCCACGTAACACAGCCATGGCTCACGGGACAGCCTGCAGTCTTCTCCCGGAGCAACCGGGACACTGAGAGAAACACAGCTCCCTTTGCCAGGGACTCTTGAAAGCCAACCTGGACCTCATCAGAGCAGCAACAAGCTGTCACACAGAAGTGGCTTCCCTTCCAGGCCACTAAGCCATGGTTACGTCAGGAGAATTAAGCAAGAAATGGGTTGATCAGGGCCATAAAAAAGAATGAGATCCTGTCATTTGCAGCCACATGAATGGAACTGGAAGCCATTATGTGAAGTGAAATAAGCCAGGCACAAAAAGACAAATCTTGCATGTTGTCATTCATATGTGGGAGGTAAAAAAAGGTAGAAGAGGGGATCTCACAGAGGTGGAGAGTAGAAGGATAAATACTAGAGGCTGGGAAAGGTGGGGATAGGTAAGGGGTAAAGAGAGGTGGGCTAATGGGTACAAACATACAGTTGGAGAAAAGGCATTAACTTCTATTGTTCAACAGCAGAGTAGGGTGACCGCAGTTAAGACTATAGTTAACAATTGTCTGGTTTTTTTTTTTTTTTTTTT